TCAATTATTGTTAATTTTAATTTAGGGATTTGGTCCCTGTGTATAATTCTCACTGCTGTCTGCCAACTACTTTTTGATCCAGATCACTTTTTTAGCACTGATGCTGACATTGTTTTTAACTTTATTTACATCACATTTAATATCTTGTTCAACAACTGCTTGTGTGATTAAACTCCAAGCTGAAATTTACAGCTAGTACTCCACTCTGTTGTTCCTTCTATTAAACTGATCACATTTATAGGACATGATTCATTCTTAGTGAACCCATGCCAGGATTACACCATTTCACCCCAATAAACTATTTCACATACTTTTCCCTGGGGGACAAAAGTCTAGTTTGGTTGTAATTACCATCTCATTTTCACAAATTCATACTTAGACTGAAAAGGCCTAATGTGAAATTCTAGCTACACTCAAGCCAATGGCAAAACTCCCATTGATTCAGTGCAGGCAAAATTTCACTTCTACTTAAGAGTCCTAGCTATCCCCGGTGAACATAGGATCATTTAATACAGCCTGTGGTTCCCAAATTTAAGATTTTCAGGCAACTTTATTGGTTTACTGGCTTAAGAACTTCGTAACACACAATGCTCACTACTATTTGTTCAACTGTATATTCTATCTAGCCTGCAATGGAATTTGGATTGATCCAGACCTACAGTCTAAAGATGGTAAAAGTGGGATCTCAGTCCTTACTGTTAACCAACACCTATTATATAAAAGTGAAAATTCTAAGTTAAAAAACCCCCAAACTTATGAAAAGTATTAAAACGTGTTACAAAAAATTATTATCCATAAAATGTTAATCAAGAGAAAAACAATCTAGATAGCCAAGCAGACTTTGTGCCACTTGAGGCAGAAAAATGAGAACACACCTTTGTTGAATAAAAAAGTAAATAGATATAGAAGTGTCACTGAGGTACATTTTGTCTATTAAGGGACAAATAGGATTAATATAGCTATAATTGTTTATTAGAGATTATTTTAATCTGCTAAGTAAAATAAATAAATACGTGAAAATTGAGACGAGAACAATTTTATGCAGAGTTAATCTGCTGAATTTAATGGGCATATGCAGCTCACAAAATCATTACTTTGGACCAGTCTTAAATCAGGAATAGCCAAAAATGCAGTTTATACTGTAAGGTTTTTGCACAAGAAGCTTTTTGCAGAAGAGATCTTCCTCAAAAGCTTTTTGCGCACCTCAAAAGCTTTTTGTGCAAAAGTGTGTCCACACCTCAAAAGCGCATCACAAAAGTGATGTGCTTTTTCACAAGAGAGCATCCACGCTGCATGGACGCTCTTGCGCAAGAAAGCTCTGATGGCCATCCACAGAGCACCTGTGCTTTTTCTGATAGGCTCTTTTTGCACAAGAAACCCCTGCGGAGCATCCACATATGCCTTTTTGCGCAAGAACTGTAGTGCAAAAAGGAGTTATTACTCATAGGGAGAGGAATAACTATCAGCAAAAGCCCTCTGTCCTGTTGATTTACTGTATTTTTTTTTGCGCAAAAACACTTTTGAGGTAGCGGAGGACACTCCTCTAGTTTTTGCGCAAAAATCTTGTAATGTAGACATAGCCATAGTGAAGGTGATTAACTGATAAGCAAAATCTTATTGGTTAATGTTTTAGACTACAAGCATTTCCTCCCCCTGCTTCCCAGCCCCCTGCCAATAAATTTTTAGCAGGCAGGTTAGCAGCCTAATCAGTTCTGGTTGTGCTGGATCTGGGACCTATCCCTGCTGTGGCTCTGAATGTAAAGTGCATTAGGAGCCAGGTGGGCAGGCAGTGCAGCTCAGTTCTAGCTTGAGCCTAGAGCTCAGAAACCCTCCCACACCTCCGACAGAGGCTGCTGCGCTACTGCCTCTGTATCAGAGGTAGCAGTGTAGGGCAACAGGCGGCTGGTCTGTGAGGAGAGCTGTTTTTTAAACTGGTTCCCCTCATGGACCAGCTCCCATTCGGCACACCACACTGCAGAGCGGCAGGGGGCTCTTCGGGAGTCGGGCTGGAGCACACTGGCTGCCAGCCCCACCCACAGGGACTGTAGAATAATTGAGTAACCCTATGAATTCTTATCGATTAATCAATTATTCCTAGTTTGCAAACCAAGTATGTGACTTTAGGCATGCCTGTGCAGCAATTAAAAGTCTACAGTGGGCCTGTGCCAGCTGAAACAGGCTTGCAGGGTTCAGGCTAAGGCAGTGTTTAATAGCAATTTAGGCTAAGGCTTGCACTGGAGATGTAGGACCCTATCCTGGGCTCCAGCCCAAGCCCAAATGTCTACATTGCAATTAAACACCCCTTTAGCCAGAACCCTGCAAAACTGAGTCAGCTGCAGTATAGGACTGTTCAATTGCGAGTAACTGACTAATTGAATAGTTGATGCATTTTGCATCAACTATTTGATTAGTCAATAGAGCGCCTTGTCTTCAAAGGCGAGAGCACTTTATGGAGCCCAGGTTCAGCTGGGGACTCCCCAGCTGATCCTGGGCTCCATGCGGTGCTGCCGCTTTGAAATGCTGTGTGCAGCCTGGAGATATCCCAGCTGGCCCCAGGCTGCATGCGGCATTGCCGCTTTGAAGTACTCTCTCTTCTCCTCACCCTCCCTTGCTGCCTCTTTCTGACAGAGGCAGCAAGGCGGGGGGAAGTGACTAGTCCTTTACATCCCTACTGCAGTAGAGACATACTTTTGAGGTTTAAAATTCAGACTACACCTGCCCTCATCTTCAATATAGAAGGCTTTTGCAGATTACAAGTCCTCATGTGTAGTGCACCAGTTTGATCTAAACAGATCTGTGAAGGTTACATTTCTACACTGAAAATAATGATGGTTACAATGCACTTCACATAAATCAGGCATAGCTCTCTGGTTCTAACAGGCTGCCAGTGCAGCTCTTGATTGAGCAAAGCTTGAATAGTCTTGTTTTACCCACCTGATAGCTGCTATATTAGTTGTGTTTTAACTTTGAAATACAAGAATTTATATTGGAAGTCACATTTCTTTAGGCCTACTAATGTGCCATTCAAAAGGATTTTTTTAGATGGATTGTAGTGTGATTAAGTGTGATTAGCACCAAGATTAATTGTCTTGTATAAGGACAAAAATCTGGTAATACTGACATGAAAAGGGATTAATAATTGGAGAAAACTAATGTCTTTTAAATTTAGGAAATATAAATTGCCTTAGAATTAATAATTTTGAATTTTTGTTTTTAATGAAAAGTTGGATCCCTATCTAGCAACAAATGTAAGTAATAAAGGGCAGGGAAAAATCAGTAACAAAAGTAGTCTGTTTCTGAATGTTAGGCAGGTATAAGTGGGAAATGGAGATTTATGAGATGTTTGAGGGAAGATATGTTAACCCCGAAAAGGAAGTGATGCTAGCAAATTCACAAAAATTGAAATGATGGAAGGTTATTGACAATAATGTTATACTCAGGTTGGGAAACATCTTAACTCCACAACTAAACCCACAGACTTCAGTGAGACTTTCCTACAGAATGGAGCTATTCAGTGTGAACAGGGGTGGCACAATTTGTCACAATGATCTTGAGAATGTCAACTACAGTAAGTGAGGAGGCCAATTGCATGTGGCCAAGGAAATGAAGGAGAGAGAAATGTCAAGATTAACTGTTGTATAATCTATCAACAAACAATATCTTAATGGAGATCTTAGCAAAAGTTGTATATTTTGCATTGCAATCTGGCCTTTTCAAAGATTACCTGTCACCAGGAGAAGAGATCATGTTCTCCTCTCATTTATACTGTGTTTACGGGGCTTGTACTTATGTATTTCAGAGGGGAATTTAGACCAGCATAAGGAAATTGTTAAATGTACATAATTTATTACCAATAATCCAGAAAGTCCTCTTTTTGAGCTGTCAGTTTAAATTCAAAGTGCTGTCCCTGCAAAGGGTTTTTGGGTCAGCATCACGGTTCCTTCTAATCTTTTCCACCTATGTGCTGAACACATTTTTATGTTCACTGAGGTATTGGAGAATGTGCACCACCCGTATAAACAAAAAATTATCTGTGGGGGCTGTGCTAATGAGTTAGGCAGCATTTGAATCGCTCGAGTGGCTGCACAAGCACAGAACACTGGAAAACAACTAACTGTATTGGGGTTTATATTACAAATAATTAGAATATATATGCTTCAATGGAAGTGAAGTGGGTATGTTTCTAATCTCTCACAACACTCTTCCACTGAGGCATAATTATTATAAATAATTAGCATTTTTTGAAAACTAGTTAGGTGCAGACTCAAAATCTAAGGCTATGTCCTCTCAAGTAATAGGTGTAACGGCATTGCGCAAGAGGGTTTTTCTTTCGCAAGAAGGGAGAATGTAGACGCTCCTTCTTGCACAAGAGCCTCTTCTGGAAAAAAATGGTGGCTCATTAGGTATGCAAATGAGGCTCAGCGATATTCTATGCTTAGCCTCATTTGCATATTACTCATGCAAGAAGCCGCCAGTGTAGACCTAGCCTAAGAGTCCTTGTAAAGAAAGCACTTCCTGAATTTAAACTGACGACAGAAGAAAATCCCCCTCCGTCCCCTATTTATTTTGGAACGGGACCTTTATTAACTCCATTCATCTGAAGAAATTAGTTGTGCCCTGAAAGCTCATACCACCATCTACATGTTTTGTTAGTCTTTAAGGTGCTGCTAGATTATTCGCTATTTTTAAAGTTTTATCAGAAGAAAACTTTCGGATTATTCCAGTAAATACAATTAGATCACAATTACAGCTCATTTGGGGGCATATTTGTGTACACCACTATGGTCTCCAGTATAGGAGAGTGGGGATGGACTAAAGATCAAATTCTTTGCTCTCAATAACACCCATGTAAATCTGGAATAATTCCATTACATTTACCAAGAACAAAATTTTGTCCCCACAAAAGAGATGCAATTATGATCTAATTTTACTGAATGAAACCAAATTTATGAAACTACTGACTTTTATAATCAATATGATACATTAGAATCAGACTACAATTCATATAACCTGTTCAGGAACAGGTATTTAATGTTTCGTATATTACAATACAACTAATACATGAGTATGAACTATAATTTTGCAAAAAGCTGTAATAAGAAAAAAATAATTTAAATACAGTGTTTCAAATTCTGAATTAAGATCCACGTTTTTTCATGGAAATATTTTAATAAAAAGAATATCATTATAAAACATGAAAAAATTGTCTGTCTGTCCGTCCCTCTTACCCCATTACATTTTATTTTTTTCCTCTGTGGTAAGTTTAGGAATATAAACTCTGATACAATGCTGATAAAAATCAATGACACAACTTCTGCAATTTTTCAAAGTTTTTTGGACTACTATTTTTGATTATCATTGTTTGTTTATAAACACATTAACATAACTGAGCTATAAATATTGTCCATATTGATAAAGTAACATACTTAAATTGAGTCTGAACTCATTTATCACCACCATCATTCTGTTCATTTTCTAGACTGTAGTCTAAAGGCACTTCTCTTGTGTTTGAAGATAATGTAATGTCATATACTTTTTCTTTTAAAACAATTATTTCATTTTGCAGTTTTAAAATGTTGTTGTCATACTGCATGCTTTCAAGAACCTTTTGCATTTCCATTATACTTGACACTGTTTTCAGCATTTCATCTTCCATGGTATAGATCTGTAACGTCAAGTCTTCCATCTTTTTCTCTATACCGGTCAGCTCACTTGATACTCTAAGAATGGACTGAATGGCATTTTCAACTATTGGCAAGTGGGACTTGCATTCCTCAATTTTCGGTTCATAGTCTGTAAGCTGCTGACTCAGATCTGTGTCTTTGGCTAACAAAGCATTCTGCTCTTCTTCTAATTTTTCAACTGTCTTTGTATCCAACTCCAACTGCTGTTCAACTCTAGAAAGCTCATCATCTTCCTGTCTTTTTAATGTTTTAATATTTCTTAGTGTACTGTCTTCCAATTCTTTTAACCTTTCTGAAAGAGACTTTATATTTTGATCAGCAGTATTAATTTGGGCCATAACTTCAGTATGTATGAACTTTGCTTCAGATTTTAAACTACTAGTGTTTGCATTCATTTCATCCAGGCTTCTTTTCCAGGAGTCCATAACATTTTGGAATGTCTCATTAATGCTTTGCATCTTTTCAGAGAATGTCTGCTCACTGGTCTGAATGTCCTGCATGATGTTACGGAGAGTGGACACTTCCTGCTCAAACTGGGTCACCATAGAGATGGATGAGGTAGCTTCCTGCAGGACACTTTCGGAAGACTCAAGCTGCATTTGTAACACAAAAGAATGTCCATGTCTACTTAATATTAGATTGGAAGAGCACTTCTATTTTATACAAGTGGGAATATAATATATACATAAGGCTCAGTCAGTCTCTTGGAGAAATTCCCTCTGACTTGAGACACATTTCCAATCTTACTATTTAGTTTAATAATTTATATTAATTTATATTAAAAATCTTGTTGTTCCAGTTGCTTCAGGCATGCAAAAACTAGAGAATTTTTATGACTGTTTTCACATGTGTATTACTACTTAGGAATTAGTATATCCAGTTAATTTGTTACTTAGCATCAGAATTACTACATTCAAATCATCTTGACCTCAGTTTCTATTTATATAAAAACATAAACTGTCATAACATATATGTAAAGATATTGAGCAACAAACTTAGAACAAATACCTTCAAATTACAAATAAAATATTACTACAGGTACCTAGAATTAAATCATTCAATTAAGAGTATTACCAAAAGACCAAGTGGTACAGGGCAACCACAATGCACTACCATACAGAGAATCGAATGTGTCTCTTCCCTGTGAAATCTAGCAGGAGATAAGAGCACTATGAAAACAATACACTAAACTAAGGGAAGAAAACAGAGGGTGGAATCCTAAACCCAGCAAAGTCAATGGGAGTTCTGCCACTAACTACAGTGGGTTCCACGATTTCAGTCAGAGAGCATAGGAAAACTTTGTAATACTCTTTGACCAACTGAAGAGCACAAATGAAATTCCAGAAGGAACATAAAAATATTTCAGTTTAGAAACAACTGAAATAATCTTTACAACAGAGAAGGAGTAAGTTTGCATGTATTATACTGAAAATCATGAATAATTTTCCTTGGATAGACAACTCTTTGTTTTAATTTCTTCAATAGGATTTTCTTTTGTAAAGATATTATGCTGCCCAAATTTAAATCACCAACTGAAAAGCCTTAATTTAAGTAACTGATTCTAATCAACTTTTCCATGTGTACTTCCTTTATTTTCTAAAGACAGGTGCATTACCATTGGTTGATATAACCATTAATACATTTATTTACAACTAAATTAAGTCTTTATACTAGACTTGGTATATTTTTTTCACTAACTAGGGGGTATGCGCTAAAAGCGTATATTTATTTATTTAAGGAATTATGTTTCTTGCTAACTGTCAATTTTAGACTTAGAAAATGGTGAATGAAATTGTTTATTTACCTAGTCTGTCATATTTTTACTCATGATTTATGTCCAGCTGCATTAGGATGGAAACTGGAATTTAACTGAATGCACAACAGCAAATACAAATATTTATCAACAAAACAAGCTCTTAACTATTGTGCCATATTTGTAAAACTCAAAAATTCAGTGTTGGGGGGGGGGGGGGAGATCTCTCTTTATACAAAAAAGAAAGTCAACATTTTTGATAGAGACTGATGGATTTAGCATATCTATTTTATTTAAATATTGTAAGAGATTATAAGGTTAGATGTTAACATATTTCATATTAAATTCAGAATTGTAAACAGGTTTATTTTTTAAAGAAAATATATTATAATTTAAATATCAAAATAAAATAAAATAAAAACATTTAAAAATCATTGAATTTTATCCAATATATGTACAAAAAGGAATTCCAAGTTTGAGGTCAGCTGTCTAGATTGAAGTGTACAGAGTTTCAAATTAAATTATCTGCGTGACTTTATAAGATTAGGGCTAACATGGCAGTATAGGCACAAGCTGTATTATGCTTCTATCATCATCTGTACCATAGAATGATTTTAGAATAATATTAACTTTTCTAACACAACACAACACAACACAACACAACAGTAGAATGGAAAAAGAACACAATGCTGAAAATCAGCTGTTTTAAGATTTTAAAATTGGTAACACAGAAGACAGTTTGAAGTGGGAGCAAGACCAATTTACCATACAAGAATTTCTGTCAATTTTCTTTAAAACAATATATAGCTAAACTACATGGAAAACTAAACTTCTAAATTAAGCCATATGAATTTCATGGAGGACTTTTAGTAAAGAAAGAATTAAAATACAGTTCTGTAACATGCATGATTAATGGATGGACAAATTTAGGTCCCGTATTTGACGTATTAATAGTCTTGTAAGCAGAGTCATACATATTCTAGAAATAAAAAAGTGAGCACTTTTTTATATATAATTACAAATGAAAACAGTATTAGAGGTCCTGAAAAGATCAACAACAAACAAAAATATAAATAATGTGAAACATTTTCACTCAGCTATTTTCCACAGGGTGAAACACTGACCTTACTGAAGTTGATGAGAGCTGTGCAGTTAACTTCAATGAGGCCAGTATTTCCTTAGCAATGCTGGTATCTCAATATAAACATACATTTGTCTGTGTGCTATTACTTACATAATAAGTAAGTATTATATAGCAACATAGTCTTAGAAAGTTTTTTATTATTAGTGATTCTACCATAAATGTAATAATATGTAGCATTTCATAGCATTCATCCAGAAAAACAACTTTATAGAACTGTTTAAATATATTTATTTCCATTTTATAGCATTAGAAAACTAAGACAGAGAGGTTAAATTACTTGCCCAAGGTTATACAGCAAGTAAACAAAAGAGTTCAGAACAGAACCAAAAGCGGATCTGATGTCCAATAAAATGTCCCATTAACTGCCATTTAGATGACTGAATAAACATTTTACAATGGTCTAATTTAACTTTGACTAAATCATTATGAATTAATACATTTTAGCTAATATTCAATATGGGTTGTCCAATTAAATTCCAATTATTACCTTTTCAGAAATGAAATTAACTTTATCTTCCATATTCTGGCATTTTCCAGCTTCCAGCTGTAATAAACGATACTCTTTCTCCATGTGAGCAAGTTGGCCTGATTGCTGATATAGGAACCTACAATCATGAAAAAGTAGTATATATAATTTGCATGCTTTAAATGTTTTAGCTCTTGATTCTGGAAGAAGCAACATGAGTGTATCTACCTTCACACAGCTTGATGCATGATCAGACCCATAGAAAAGAACAGGACTTATTAAGTTTGGTCTACTTTAGGACTGGAACGATAGACTACCAAAGGGAAAAAATAAGGAAATGGACAAAAATAGCATTTAAAATAAGAAAGTGTGTGAAAGACAGATTGTATGCGTGTTCTACTCAGCTATCACCAAGCTACATAACCACTTCATTGTGATTTAGTGTAAATATATTGAACAAAAAGTGCCTTCACGGGAAAGGAAATCCTTAAATTTTTTTTCACTAAGTGGTTAGCTGATTAGATGGTCAAGTTAAATAAAACAAGATAATTTGCCTTCTCAAAACTATATTTAGCAGCTCTGACACAGGGAGGGCCAAGCTAGTTCTAATTTTGTGTTAATTTTAACCACTGCTGTTGTGTTGTGGGAATGCTTATATTTCTGCTGCCTGTGACGTACGAGTTCTGTGGATAAATAGATTTTATCCTACAGGCTCTTAGTTCAGGCTCTTTCAACTATTACTTATTTTAAACAAAAAGAAAAAAGTTAATTGAAATGTCCCTGTATAATTGGCACATGTTCCAAAACATAGCAAAAAGCTGGCTCAAACAAAAGCATGTGTGCTCAGTAAACAGTCATACAGCAGGAAGGAAAACAAAGGGAGTTCAAAGAGATGGGAAAACCAGCATGGACTAGCCTTACATGTTAAGGTGACCATATTTCCCGAAGATCACCTTACATGCATGGGACTGTTCTACTGGTAACATGAATCTGCCAAACTCCCAATCACAGCTGTCGCTTATCACTTGAACCCTGCTGGCCCCCCTGCTTGAAGGCTGCTTCTCATTGCTAGAGCCCTGCCTGCCCCCATTCACTTGAGCACTTCCTCCCTTTCCCCTCCAGCTCAGCCTCCCCCCTGCAGAGTACTGGCATCTCTGCTCACTCTCTGCATATTCCTCCACATCACAAATGAGACAAATGCTCTCTTTTACAAAAAAAGTTAGGATGGCTGGGGCAGGGCTTCAGAAAGGGACTCTAATGGACACAATGGGACATGTCTCTACACTGGGAGTTAAGTTGATTTAAATGTGTTGCTCAGGAGTATGATTTTCCACCCCCTTAGTGATAGTTATATCAACATAAAAGACGGCAGTGTACTCCAAGTCCTGAATTTTAGCTGGAAATGTTTTCCAACATGGAGACTGACATTATATAAAGGAGAAGAAATGCCCCAAGAAATTCCCTACTCCCTTCCGCCCCCTCCCGCCCACAGCCATTCACAGCACAGGAACAGATATACAAAATAGCCATTAAACAGAAGAAACGGTCCTGGCCTGATAAGTTTGGCCAGTAAGGCTATTGAGGGCACGTGATGAGAAAAAACTATGGTTTGAATTTAACCTAGTTTGTAAAGTTGGACATTAGTTGCATTTTATCTTCATTTTTCTTGTAACCATTTCTGACTTTTATGCTTCATTACTTCGTTTCATTTAAAATTTATCTATTTGTAGTTAATAAACTTCTTCTATTTTATTTAATCCAATGTGTACTAAGGATGTAAAGGAGTAATTGAGTATATGATTAACCAATAAACCTAGGCTTATTGGTTAATCTTCTTGACTACTTATTTCCTCCTCCCCTTGCTGCCTCTGATACAGAGGTAGCAAAGAGCGGGGAGAAGCAGGAGAAAGTCTGCCTCTACATCCCTGCTGCCTCTATCTGCTGCTGGGCTCTTACTACAGTAAAACTCCATTAGTCCAGCATCCAATGCTCCGGGACTCCTGATGGTCCGGCACCATCAGGAACTCGGAAGTGCTGGGGCAGCCGGACAGGCTTCCCCCATTCAGCTGCTGCTGAAATTGACCAGCAGCTGAATCGGGGAAGCTGGGAGCAGAGCAGCTGGGGTGCTGCCGGGTTGGTCCCGCAGCCCCGCGGGGCAGCGCTACAGGACCAACCGGGCAGTAACACAGCTGCTCTGCTCCCGGCTTCCACGATTCAGGCGC